AGGTCACTCGCTTCGGGATCCACACTCGCCCCGCTCCTGCAGGCGCCGGCCCAAGGGGGAGGCCGGAAGAAGGTGCCGCGAGCCGCCAGCCTGCAGTGGCGCATGCGCCCGACAGGCCCAGTTGGGACCCGGAAAAGGAAAACCTGACGGCATGAATGCGCAAGCGCGAGAAGGCGTCGGGGCGCTGAGAAGCCGGGAGCCCTTTGGGCGTGCGCAGAGCCCAAGTATAAGGGAAGAGAATCCAAAGGGTAGAAGCGCGTGGGCGCATGCGCACACGTAGGCGTTGCCAACCAAGCGAAAACCATCACTGGGTGGAACTAAAGGTGCTTTGGTGCGGGTCAAAGAACCAATCACCGGCGAGACCCCTGCCCCCGGCGCAGGACCTGTTAATTGGCGCAAAGCTCTTCCAATTCCTTAGCTGGTTTGGTTCAGTGGATAGAGCGTTGGCCTGCGATTTGAAGGGTCCCAGGTTCCTTTCTGGCCAAGGGCACCTGCCTGGGTTGCAGGCTCCATCCCAGTAGGGGACGTGCTGGAGGCAGCCGATCAATGATTATCATCGTTGTTTCTCTCTTTCCTTCCCTTCCTCTCTGAAATCAATAAAGAAATATATATATTTAAAAGGCCTTCCTATGAAGGTGGTGGGGAAAAGGATGGAGGCGTGGATTCCCCAGGGCTACAGCGATATTTCAGCTCCACTGGAGCACCTCCCTCTAGGTCAGCCCCTTTTAATGCTGGACCTCAAACGTCACGAGCATTCTGTGGACTGGAGCTGCCTCTACTTCCGGGTCAGAGCTCAGATTTGGAGTGCAGAGAGCGACACTCCAGAACAGGCGGGAATAGTCGAAACAGGATAGCGTCGTTTTTCTTAAAGTGACAGGCTCAAGGCAATTGGGGTCAACACTGTGACTGAGGGCGACTTAACTATTCTGACTCTAATCGCTGGCTAAGTTCAGGACAGGTCTCGGGTTTCTGCCTACTTGGGAAGAGGCATGAAGAAGCGAACTGCTTCGCTGGTGAGGGGAAGAGGAGCGCCTTAGACAACCCGCTGCAAGAATTTGAGGTGCAGCCAGTTCTGTCCTCCTCCAATCTCCCCCACCCCCGCCCCACTAGCTCTGCAAAGCTGGTCCCCATTTCAGATGCGAGAATGAGGCGCGGAGAGGATGGGTCACAACTTGGGAGCCGAGACCAGACTCGGGTTTACGCCACTTCCAAGCCAGGATCTTAACTGACGCTGATGCAGAGGGCGGGGGTGGCCCGTCCTCATCAGAGACAACCTCGGCCGGGGCCGGGGCTGCCCTGCCCTCCTTCCGTCTTCTGCACCGCGACCGGGAACTCGCCTGCTTGGTCTCCCGCAGCCTCCGGTTCGGGAGCGGTGCTACCCGCTCGCGTCATCTGATGCTGTTTCCTGCAGGAGGGAGAAGAGCGGAAAAAAGTGAAACTCCACCCTCCACCTCTGCCTCCCGCCCCCGGGGCCAAAGTACAAAGGGAGGAGGAAGAAGGGAACGGGGGTTGGAGCCATCGGGCCGAGGGAGCTGGGGCAGGAAGGGGCAGCTCGGCCCAACTAGGGACGCTCCAGCCACCCCGGCGCGAAAAGACCCAACCGGAGCCCGGGCGCTGCCCCTGGCCGGCGCCGCCTTACACTTGGCGGGTGCTGGAGCCAGGCTCCCGGGACTGCGGAGGGACGCCAGGCCCTTCTGAGCTGGCAATGGTGAGACGCCAGAGACCCCGGGGTCCCACCCCCCGAGCCTGACCACACTGGCCTGGCTGGCCCTCCTCGGAAAGCCCGAGATGCGGCGGGCCAGGAGGCGACACTCCTGCCTCCCCAGAGAGGCGTGGGTCTGGGGCTGAGGGCCAGGGCCCGCATGCCCGGGTTCCGGGACTAGGGCCTCCGCAGCCAGCAGGGGTGGAGACCCGGGGCACCCAGGGAAGGTCCCCCACCGGCCCCAACGCCCGCTCCCAGCCATGGAGCCCTTGAAGAACCTCTTCCTCAAGAGCCCGCTGGGTTCATGGAAGGCTTACGCCAACCCTGTGTGGACAGCCTTGTTTGACTACGAGCCCAATGGGCAGGACGAGCTGGCCCTGCGGAAGGGTGACCGTGTGGAGGTGCTGTCCCGGGATGCAGCTATCTCCGGCGACGAGGGCTGGTGGGCGGGCCAGGTAGGCGGCCAGGTAGGCATCTTTCCGTCCAACTATGTGTCTCGGGGCGGCCCGCCCCCCTGTGAGGTGGCCAGCTTCCAGGAGCTGCGGCTAGAGGAGGTGATCGGCATTGGTGGCTTCGGCAAGGTGTACCGTGGGAGCTGGCGAGGGGAGCTGGTGGCTGTGAAGGCAGCTCGACAGGACCCCGACGAGGACATCAGTGTGACGGCTGAGAGTGTGCGCCAGGAGGCCCGGCTTTTCGCCATGCTGGCACACCCCAACATCATCGCCCTCAAGGCGGTGTGCCTGGAGGAGCCCAACCTGTGCCTGGTGATGGAGTACGCAGCTGGTGGTCCCCTCAGCCGTGCCCTGGCTGGGCGGCGTGTACCCCCCCACGTGCTGGTCAACTGGGCTGTGCAGATCGCCCGTGGGATGCACTACCTGCATTGTGAGGCCCTGGTGCCCGTCATCCACCGAGACCTCAAGTCCAACAACAGTGAGTTTTGGGGAGCAGGGTTGGAGGGTGGCATGGCCCAAGCACACACATACTGCCAACTCTCAGCTCAACCTGCTGGGGCTACCTGGCCTCTGAAAGGTACTGGCCCCCAGACCTCTCCCAGGCTGGCCTCTGTGGTACTAGAGGCAGGATCTCTTGCCCCAGGGGAGTCCCAGTTGACTGGGATGCCCACTGCCCCCAAAGCAGGAGTACCAGGCACCGGAGTCTTTCATGCCCCAGCCGCAGAAGTTCTTGGCCCCAGCTTACAGAAGCTAAAAAATTGGGATCGCTCAGGTGGGCCCTAAGGATCCTGCCTAAGGATGGCCACCTCAAGGGAGCAGGACACTGGATGCTGGCACTCACCTTCCTGTCCCCTAAAATTCACACCTGTGCTGTGGGCTCTCTCCTCTCCCCTCCTCTTGTGATGGGCAGGTACTCCAGAACAGAGGTCTCCAAGGGGAAAGCCTGGTGGTCGTGGGCTGGAATTCTGCCCCCCCCTTCACCTCCCCCGGCTGCATGACCTCTAGGTGGTTATTTCAACTCAGAGCCTCAATTTCAGACTCTGTAAAAAGGGAGTAATGGGGCGGGGAAAATGGCTTAACAGTCTTGGCAAGCCCTGGTGTCTGGTGCCAGCACACAGTAGGTCCTCAGTCGTGAGTGGATATTTGGAGATTGGCTCACCAACGGGGCCTCGCCTGGAATCAGCCCTTGGGGTGGGTGTGGTGGGACGAGGCCTCCATCCTCAGCCATTTGGGATTGCACACTGCTCAGCAGGGACCCAAAACAAGGAGGGACAAGTTCAGAGCGCTTCCTCCAGCAGACAAGCTTCGCACAGGCCAAAAGCAGTCAGCGCTCAGGGAGGCACCCAATTGGATGTCCGGCAGGGCCTGACAAGAGCAAAGGCCAGGAGGCAGTACCCAGCACAGTAGTGGGGGGACACAGGCTGGGCCTGGGAGCCCCGGGTGTAGGCTACAGAGCAAAAGGAAGTGCAGGAGGGGCCAGTGGGATTACTGGAGAGGCATGGGCGGCTCTTGCAGGGGGAGCTGTATATTTTGAGCCTCCTGGGCTGGGCTGACCATGGACAAGGGACCTGGAGGGAGAACACCAGGACCCGGTGATATCCAAGTCCTGGCCAGGGCCAAAGGGGGCCAGGGGATGTCTGCCAGCCACCCACCCCCTCCTGTCATCTGTAGCAGGGGGCAGTTTCCACCTCTCAGCCTCACTTCTGAGTTCTAGCCATCTAGGACCCCCCACTCCCTGCCCAGAATCCTGAGGGGGATTCCCCGAAGGCCCCAGAGGGAGGGGACTCCATCTTCTGTTTTTCCTCCAGTTTTCTTTCCAGAAAAAATGGAACAATAGCCCAGGCCCCTGCTCCCCACCCTCCCCACCGCTTCCTGCGTTTCCTGCTGCCCCTGAGCCAGCTTCCTGCCCCTGCTCCAGCCTCTGCTCCCTCCCCAGTCCAGCTGCCTACAGGGGAGGAAAGAGCTGGGGGTGGGGGGCTTGTGGGAGAGGAAGGAGCCAGGGATTGCACCCCCACTCCCCTCCAATCCCCCTGTTTCTCTCCCAGAGTCTGGGTGGTGGTTAAGAGCAGGCGGGGTGCCCTCAGCCTCCCTAGCTTGGCCTCCCACCTTGCAGACCCCAGTCCTAGGCCTGAGGTACTGTCTGCGGGATTGGGGCGGGGGAGTCCCTGGACTGGGGGGGCGCAGGCAGGAAACAATGGCGTGATTTTCCTGGACAATGGGGGCCTTGTGAGGAAGCCTGGCGGGGAGTGGAGGGGGAATTCTCCAGGCCCACAAGTCACAGGACTGACCAGCCAGCCCGGCCTGGGGCTGACCTCCCCCAATTCTCCCCCAAAGGACCCCCCCGGTTGGAGACCTGCGCCAGGCCCCCAGAAAGGAGAAGTAGAGACCATGGGAGGGAAGCGGAAGAGGTGTGAGTGGCCTAGGCCACTCCCGAGCCCCACAGATGCCAGCCTGGGAGGGGGCTGGGGCCAGGGAGCCCTCAGCGGACACTGAGCGGGGGCTCTCTAGCTCTCTCTCTTCCGGATGGCCCCTGCCCACCCCACTCCCAAGGTTACATCAGACACCAGAAGAGCAACTTGGGTTGCGACAAATTCAAAGCACTTGGAGAAAAACAGGAGATGCAGGGGAGAGGACGAGACACTGAAGCTGTCAGGTCCAGCTGTTGGGGTGGGGGGGTGGGGGGAGGTGGCAGAAAGGCCGTCCGTACAAAGAAGTCCTGAGACTTTGGGTGAGTTATCTGGGTCTCAGATTAGCTGGCTGAAAAGGAGCGGCTGGCCTCCCGGCCTGAGATACTGGTACAGCAAGTGCTTCGCTCGTCTCTGAGGTCTCACAGATCGCTAGAGACACAGCCAGGAAGCAGCCAGGGTCGGTCTGCGAGAGGATGGGTGGGTCCTGGCACCAGAGGAGACAGGAGTCCCTTCCCAACCCCGGCACCCAGACCCCTTTGGCTGGTCCCACCCCAGCCACCTGCCCCCAGCCTGGTGCAGTTCTTGGGAGTGAGCTCCTGTAGGGTTTCCTAAAAGGTCCAGCTCTGAGCCTCCAGCAGCCAAGCCCGAGTAAGTTGTGACGGAGGAGGGAGAAGAGAGAGTCTACAGAGAGATGTTAGCGAGTGGCAGAGTCTTTAGCACAACTGGCATCCAGCATGCTCATGCCGGGGTCAGACCCGGTGCTGAGGCTTTAAAAAGTGGGATCTCATGCCAACCCTCTGAGGTGGCTTTTGTTATCACCCTCGGCTTTATTAACTGTTCAGGACTCAGCCCCCGTCGGGCTCAGAGGAGAGGGGAGATGGTAGGACCATCCTCTGAATTAGGAGAAATGGCAAGCAGATTTGCCGGGCCTGGTGGGATGATGCCGGTGGTTGTTGAGGGCCGGTGGACATCAGGCAGGGCAGCTGATGGGCAGCTGAACTGACTTCTGGCCTAGAGGTCCAAATATGGGAGATGCCAAGGGGCGACTGGCACCCGGGAGAGCCAGAACAGTCTGGGAGCAGTGGGCAGAGGTTTAGGAGAGGCCAGGCTTGAGGAACACCTGCATGGAAAGGGCTGAGAGCAGGGGAGGCCCTGAAGGAAACACAAGCAGTCAGAGGCCCCAGGAGTCAAGGACCTCGGGGAAGGGTTGGGGAGCAGTGCCAGATGCCCCCACAAGGCCCAGAGAGCGTGGCCAGAAGCAGGATCAGTTGTGGCTTTAGGCCTGGAAAAGCGGGTACCCTGGCTCTGCCACCTCTTCTGAGAAGTCTTCTCTGACTCACTGGGCTGTGTTAGGTGCTGGGGCCCGCCCCTGACCGAGTAACACGCTGGCGCTCCACCCCCAGTACCCTGTGCTGCCCCCATGATGGTGCTGTCACCTGGGCAGGGGAGCTGCGGTGTGCTCTGGAGTGACCCATATTCACAAATATAGTTTCTGAATGTCACTTCTCTGCAGTGCAGTTTTCTACAACCAGAAAGGGAGAGAGGCCCTTTCAGACCCTGGATGATTCTGTTGCTTTGTCCTCTCAAACTCCTCTCATTTGAGCCATGTTTTTCCTGATGAGAGGTTTGCAAGTTGCTGCTTCTCTCTGTGCAGATACGGTGGCCCCATTTGGGTCGAAGCCATGAGCCCCTGCCAAGTCTAACCATCCACTCCTACATTTATCCAGAGCTCCTCCTTTCTGGGCAAGAACCATCCTCTTCTCAGACCCCTCCCTTCCCCTCCGCATCCAGCTGCGTTGGTAGTTATCTTTCGGAGTCTCGCTCCCGTGGGAGTGGCTGCACTGGCCACCCTGCGATATGGGCACCGGGGGTCTGTGGTGCCTGTTGGGCTTCCTTTCTCACCAAAGGGCTGCCTCCTGCTCCCCACCCCAAGGGAGGTTCTTTTTTTTTTTAATATATATTTTATTGATTTTTTAGAGAGAGGAAGGGAGAGAGATAGAGTCAGAAACATCAATGAGAGAGAAACATCGATCAGCTGCCTCCTGCGCATCCCCCACCGGGGATGTGCCCGCAAGCCAGGCACATGCCCCCGACCGGAATCAAACCTGGGACCCCCCAGTCCGCAAGCTGACGCTCTATCCACTGAGCCAAACCGGTTTTGGCTCTGATCAACACTCCTGCTTTAGCAAAATGGCCAGACACAGGTTTCTCTTGAAATTAAGGCCGTCATAGCTAAGAGGCTGCTACATTGCTAGTTTCTATTCAATGCAGCATTCGGAGAAAGTTATAGGCCTGGCTTTGGAACCTCACAGACTGGGTTGGAATCTCTGTTTAATTTGTTTATGACCTTAGCCAAGTCATGTCCTTGCTCAGTTTCTTCATCTGTAAAATGAAGATAATGATGTCTTCCTCACAACATTTTTGTGTGTGACTGCTAGAACTGAGTGTAAAATGCCTGGCTTATAGTAGCCCCTCTGGAAACATTTCCCAGTATTGTTATTTTTGTCTGATTCCATCCCAGCCCCAGCAGCAAGCTCTCCTTCCTGGGCAAGATCACCTCCATGCCCCCAGCACCCAGCTCATGTCTGTCAGAGGACAGTTAGCTCTCCGCTCCTCCCTGGTCCCTCCCACCTGAGCCTGCAGCAGCCATAGTCCTGCCTCTCTCTCTTCCCCAGTTCTGCTGCTGCAGCCCATTGAGGGTGACGACATGGAGCACAAGACCCTGAAGATCACTGACTTCGGCCTGGCCCGCGAGTGGCACAAAACCACACAAATGAGTGCCGCCGGCACCTATGCCTGGATGGCACCCGAGGTCATCAAGGCTTCCACCTTCTCCAAGGGCAGCGATGTCTGGAGGTGCGGCCTGGCGGGAAGCTGGACAGGGTAGATGTGGCTGCCAAAATCTAGGGCTGGGCAGACAGGTGGAGCTCAGGGGGAGGGGCCCAAGCCATTTAGTTCCTGGTTGCTTTGGGGTGAAATGGCAATGAGTAGAGGAGAGGACACACCCTTCTCTCTCCCACAGCTTTGGGGTGCTGTTGTGGGAATTGCTGACTGGAGAGGTGCCCTACCGTGGCATCGACTGCCTTGCTGTAGCCTACGGAGTGGCTGTTAACAAGCTCACACTGCCCATCCCATCCACCTGCCCCGAGCCCTTCGCACAGCTCATGGCCGGTAAGGGGATGGTGCGGGAGGGTGAGGGACAGAGCTCCTCCACCCACAGACCTCTTCTTACTCTGTCCCCTCTCCATCCTGTGTCCCCAGATTGTTGGGCGCAGGACCCCCACCGCAGGCCCGACTTCGCCTCCATCCTGCAGCAGCTGGAGGCGCTGGAGGCCCAGGTCCTGCGGGAAATGCCGCGGGACTCCTTCCATTCCATGCAGGAAGGCTGGAAGCGTGAGATCCAAGGCCTTTTCGATGAGCTGCGGGCGAAGGAAAAGGTGGGAGGAGTCAGGGTCCCGGGGTTGGAAGGAGACACTCGGGCCTCCTTCGGGCAGAGAGTTGGGCGGGTGCCAGGGCCCTTCGGGACTGACCCCACCGTGGCCACTGTCCCGGGCACAGGAACTACTGAGCCGCGAGGAGGAGCTGACCCGCGCGGCGCGTGAGCAGCGCTCCCAGGCCGAGCAGCTGCGGCGGCGCGAACAC